GTTGAATTCGATTTATCTAAATCTATTTCTTCATCAACTCATGATAAAGATCGTGATCTTGTTTGTATACTTGATTCTATTGAGATTGAAAAATCTCATTATCAAATTTTAAAACCACATTTTCATTTATTAAAATTAACGAATCCACCACAACAATGTCATCATACAAGGCCTGAATGGAAAGTTCCAACTGATCTTGATCTTGATCGTCGTGTATTCAATGATCTCTTATTTAAAGAGAAATCTCAAAATGATGAAATTTTAAAAGAAGGTTTAACTCAAGTTTGGTCTTATGTTACCAATTTCTTGACTTCAATACTTCAAATAGAAGCAAATAGAGATCAAATTTTTGGTAAAGGTTGTGTGTCAAATATGGAAAATTTTATGAAAGAATATCAAGATGAATCACTTCCTTTTAAAGATTATTGGGCTCCTATCGCTGAAGCATATAAAAAGACTCCAAAATCTAAAAAAGCAAATACTTCTTCTACAACTGATACTGTAGATGATATTGATGCTGCTTTTAGAACTTATATACATAATGCTAAAACCGTAATTTCTTTTTGGGAGGAAGGTTTTGTCGAAAAGGCTTTAACTAATGCTGTTCAATTTAGTGAAGAAACTCAATGTACTTTACTAGGATTTCTTGTTGATTTTCAGAGTAGAATAACAAAAATTCCAATTAAAGAATCTATCGATGATATTTTAAGAAAATGTGGTGATGCTTTAATCGTGGTTAAAGATATTAAATTAATGGTATCAAAAAGGATTTCAATTATGCGTTCAGATATTTCTAAAAGGAGTAAAGAATTAATTCAAGAACTTGAAGCACTTGATGAATCTTGGAAAACTCAATCACAACGAACAACTCAAGGTCGATTGGAAAAAGCAAATAATAAAGAATTTCGAAAACGAATTAAAAAATTTGAAAGTACGGTGCAATCAACGAGGCAAGCGGCAATTACCGCAATCGGTGCTTTGTTTCCAGTCACAAACCTTGCTAGTATTTGTACTAATTGTTTAGAAATATTAATGACTGAAGGTGAAATTATGGAAGCTATTCTGTTGGAAAAACATTATAAAAATTATGAAGTCACCGCTAAAAAATTTCAAGAGCAACGTGAAGCTCTTTTAAAAGACTTTGAACAAGGTGCTGAGACTGGTCGCAAGGTATTGGCGGGAATTTTTGGACGTTTGTTTCTCAAAGAAGCTTGGGGATTGATTGCTGAAACTTTAGCATTAAAGAAACAAGATGCTTTTTTACAATCAATGGATAAGGGAAAGACGGAGACTGTGAAAAAAAAGAAGACTGATAAAGATGCTGGTAATGGTGCATCACAATCTGTAGACAATTCTGTTCCAACTGAAGTTTCAAAAAAGAATAAAAAGAAAAAGAGAAAAAGTTCTAGCAGTGTAACGACAATTTCATCAGGTGATAATCATTCTGTCACTGTACAGCAAGACAATAATTTAGTGTTATCACAAGAACCTGAGCTTCAATCAAATGAACCTTCCACGTCACAAGACTCTTGTCACGCTGAAGAGCAGAAACCTTTAATAGACATGATGACGGACAATAAATTAAACAATAATACAAATTCCACTAAATCTTTAAATATAGAAAATACGGTCAAATCTTTAGTTTTAGATTCATCACAATCACAAGATTTCTCAGAATTGCATCCACATAAATTTCAAGATAGTAATAAATCTTCCAACGAAGAAAATATAAACAAGTCTCCAGTTTTAGATTCATCACAAGATTTCTCAGAAATGCAAGCTACGAATCCGCATGAATTTCAAGAATCTCCCCAGCGTCGTATTTCTACACCGCCTGGCCTTAATACGGGTACGAACAGCCCACCACAGTTAAATCAAAGTTCTGTTGCTAAAGCGAATAATTCAACTCACGAAGGTCTTGTAGACTTTGATAATTTTAGTCGAGCAGATTTAATTTTACTTATCCAAAATCTATTAAGCGAAAAAACACAGTTAGTTAAAACACTTGTTTCCATGCAACAAGAAGTAAAGGCTGTTACAGATCGTTACACTAATTTAATGGAGATGAGTCGAGAACGAGAATTCCAAACTTTTCAATTATTTGAAGCACATAAAAAATTAGAGATGGATGAAGCAACCAAGTATATTCAAAAGTTGGAAGCACGAATTAGTCAATTAGAAAAAAATAATGCTAGAAGTATTAATGGAGAGTATATAGATCCATGGAATAGTCATCTCACCGGATCTCGATCAAACGTGAGGTGTGGAAATTGTGGTGGTCAAAATCATATAAGTCAAGAATGTATTACAGGATGTCGTTATTGTGGTGATCCTAGACATTTGAGCGAACTTTGTAGTTCATCGATGAATAGCACTAATCTGGAAATCTAGAATTGCGACTAAACCTCCCTTTTTTTTTTTTTTTATGATATGACTTTACTACGTTGTTTAGGTTTGGGAATCGAGATTTCTACTTCATTTGTGATAATTGTGATAATTGTGATAATGACCAAAACCAAAATATGATTCTATTTTTGGTCAATAGTGTTAACTCAAAAAAAAAAAAACAATTAAATTCAAATTTGTTAAATCAATGTTATAAATTATTAAACCTTTGTACTTTTAATTTTCAAATCAAGAAAATTAAGAATCTAAAAGTAATTTGGCAACTAGACAGAATACATTGAATAAAAATGGTACGTCAGGTCCAATAGTTATGTGCACAATAAATGAAAAATAATTATAAAGTGAAAGTTTTCACATCCAAAAAAAAAAACATCAAATAATAAATTTCGGCAAATTTTTTTCGAAATTCGAGTAGAAATGTCTAAGAATTTTTAGAAAAGTAAAGCCCTTAGTAAAAATCGATACCTTATGGTCCCCATCTGGGTTGTGTTACGAAAGTTATGTAATTTTTTTCATCACATATATATAAAGTACTGGCTTTAAAAAGTTCGGCCAGTATTATTTTTGAATATACTGTATGATACGCATCGTAACTACCAATCAACAAAAATTTGCACGTCTCAAATTTGTGCCAGGTTATGTCGATCACCGAATCGAAAAAACATTAAGAGCAGATTTTAATTTACTTTATATTTGATATT